ATTAAAGTTGCTTCTTTCGTAGTGAATAGTTTCGATATTGGACGAAGTAGAGTGAAATTCGTGAAGCATATGGTACTATATACGTGATCATTGGTAGCACGTAGTTACTACGTGGTTCGAAAATGCGATGTTTTATAGAATGTACAGTTGATTCGAAAGACTTTCAGCATCGATTTAACTTTGGAACAGTCGAATTTTTGAAACAAAAACATTTGTGACGATCTGTATGTAACAACTAACGCTATATACGCAAGCTGCGTATTACGTTACATTTTTTCCAGTCTTTTCAGTGTAATTCAATACGTATCCACGTTTCTCCAACGAAAGATCGTTAACCTTTTTGCAACGGAATTGTGTATTACAGATTTATCACTACGTGAGTCATGCGTCATATTGTAAACTTCGAGAAATTTGATCGACATTCTTTTTAATCCATATTAATCGCTTGAAATTCGTGTAAAATTACGATGTTACGTATTCTCAATTAATCGTCTCAGCTATTTCGAGCGGAGATTATTGATCTGTTTACGCGAGATACGATTAAAGGTCCACCGTCGAAAAAAAATTCCCGAGTGAAATTCCATCTAGCGCAGGTGTAAAAATGACTGGCGGCACCGTGTTTACTAGGAAATACTCGGATTACCTACGCTTCACTATGATACTTGAAACCATCCCCGATAAATCACGTTACATCGACAGTTCAATTTCATCGTAACTTATTTCCAAAAATACAAATTTTTTAGAACCTGAAACAGAAACTTACGAGTCATCCCATACATAATATTTGGACACTGCTTCTAACACAGTGCTGAAGTAATAAACAACTATCTGCAAGATACACCGCTGTTCTGAAATATTAGGACACCTGTTATTTTCCTACAGAAGGTATTGCATAATTTAAATAACATTTCTTTAGCAAAGTTGTTATCATAATATGGTATATCATATCGGTTATATAAAAAGATACATGTACTCGATTTACTAGGAGATTCCAAACTGAATAATTTTCTTTTAGGATCTTAATAATTTTCTAATGAAAATTACTGAAATTTTCGAATAGAAGATGTGAAAATTATCAAAATTCATGGAAACTTACGAGTGAAAATTATGGAAACTTTCGAATTGAAAATTATGGAAACTTACGAGTGAAAATTATGGAAATTTTCGAATGAAATTCATATGGAAATTTTCTACTGGAAACTATCGAAATTTTCGAATTAAAAATTATTAAGGTTAGGTTAGCTAACACTCACGAACGCCTAATCATCCGCAGGGGAAAATCGTAACGGGTTAATTTCTTTATCGGAGAGATGGATATGGCGTTTTCCAAACGAGTTCGATGTCGACGAACGATTCACTTCCCTCTTACGAGGCGGCTTTCCTATTCTCCTTGGAAATTCATTGGAAAGTCGCTAGATGGATTCCGCTTATACGGGCTCGCGCGAGTGAAGATGTTCCCCGGACGCCTTAATTGACGTCCCAGGTTTATTCGCCGCGTAGCTTTCGAACGGCCTTGCAGAAACCGTTTTCCCGTTCCTGATCACCTCGCAAAACATCCAACTTGACTGAAAGCTGATCCAACGGATCGAAAGCCGTCCCGTACCGTTTCTCGTCTCGAATATCTATAAATTCGTGTTCGCCAGAAACGTCGTCCATTTTGGAAAAATTATTAAATCTGAAAGGGGGTTAAACTTCATTTAGAAGATTCTTCCAAATTTTATCTAGTATTCAGAAAAATTTGAAACGCGACTACCTTTAAATTTGCCTGAATTTCCTTAGAAAATGTTCATAAAAAAGAATAAAAATTGTCGCAATTTCTGCTAACGCATTATTCCAACGAATTTTCTGGTAGAAATTTCTGGCGTTAACAATCGGAGTAATTCCCGATGAAAAGCCATAATGGAGTCTGGCAGTGATTGAAATCGAACGGAGGAAAGTTTCGATTGCTCTTTCCCCAGAACGAATTTTTGATCCACGACAAAAGAGAATGAGGCTTTCTCGTCTTTGGAATCGTTAAACTCCACTTGGAACTAATTTTGCATGAAAGGGGAATGGTCGCAGATCGACTCGAAAGCAAGTTCAATTTGTCCTCTCGCCTTCCTGCGACAGAGTTTTAATCGAAGAACTTCTAAAACCATCGTGAATCGATCGAAATCCTTTGGCGAAGGAAAAGTCTCGAACCCGCGATAGTATTAAATATGAAATTCACTCCTTCCGATCTCTTATCTTGCGAAATTCATTTTTCACGACGATTAAAATTCACACCGGGTCGATTTATCATCGCGAAGTAATTGAAACTCGCTTTAGCGTCACGGAAGAATTTTAATTGAACAGCTGTAACGCCAATTTTTTCCTTCACCGACACCTTTTACAATCGAAACTGAACTTTTCCCTCGCGTAACTATTACTACACGCAGTTCGTGACAGCGTAATTGAGATTAATATCTGAGACTAAGTAGAATTTATTCCCTCTGACAATATAATCATCGATATTGATGAAACTTCGGCACATGGTAGATCAGAGAAAAATATCTGACACGTAGTAAAAATCAGCCTAAAAAATGAGAGTAAGAAACATATTTTGGTCGAAATTATTCTTTATTTCTTATTTATCAGATTTGTCGTTGAAAAATACAAAATTTATCAATTTACAGTATTTCTCTATCTCTAATAGTTTTCGAGATATTAGACCAAACGTGTTTACTGTTTTTGGGGCAACTTGAGGGCGTTTACGCCCACAACTTCGAGACCGATTTTCTCCCCTTCAGAGTGGACCCTCGCCAATATAAAAAAATACGTGTCGAATATTTTTTCGAGTACTATTATGCACCAAAGTTTCATCCAAATCGATTGAAATTATTTCGAATTTCGATGGAAGGAACACGTGAAAAATTTTCTCGTTTTTTCTCGATCGTCTAGGAAGACTCGAACAGGCTCTACGATATCGATATCCCGTTTATCGACGTGTTCGCCGCGGTGTAATTGAATTCGAGGTGAAATTATTCTAACTACCGTCGTGCGTTTATTGCCGGTTGTAACGAGAGAACCGGGACGCGTCTCTGTCTAGTAAACCGGCGTGTTCGTTAATCCATTTAGAAATGGCTTTTTATCGGTGAATCTTGAAACAGTTGCTCTTTCTAAGTCCTCTTTTCTTGCCTTTCTCCTCCGCGAACAGGCACAAGAGACACGTTGCGAAACGAAGTTTTTGCCGCCACTTGGCGAACATCGTTTTTGCGCTCGTTCAAGTCTCTCCGGCCGGTGATTTTCCATCGAAAACGAAACAAAACACGATTTTCATTTCTAACGAAGCAGAGGGAATTTCTACTAAACCCGATGTTTCTCTTTCATCTGATCTTCATATGTTGTTAGTCTTTTCTCACGCACGTTTTCACGGGGAATCGTTAAGTTGCCTGAAACGAATCTCTTTTCTCTTTCCAAGCTTGTCCGTCTCTTCCAGTCCGGCAAATTTATTCAACCGTGTCTGAAGATTGGTGCTCGTTAATTTGTAACAACATGCGGTGGCCTGACGGTTCGATGTTAATTCCGTGTTTTTAGTTTGGTGGAAGAGTGGATCGATTAATCGTTCTTCTACGTTCCAGTAGAAAAGTTACACTTTTTTTTTTCTTTTTTGAGAGAGAGAGAGATTCGAGAACGTAATTAGCATTCTACTGCATTTTGATCGTCGCTAACTATGTTGATGGAAGAGTAGATAAGGAAATGAAGAAGGGTGTGTGTGTGTGTGTGTGTATACGTTGAATTAAGGAGGTGTTGTTTTTTCCCTCTTTTGTTTGTTTTCGTTGAGATACGGGATGAGGAATTGCTCGGTCGGAAATTTCATTTGAAAGTGAGCCAGATCTTGTTTGACACGGTCTGATTCGTGGCGTAACGCGTGTCCGTCTTAATTGCTGTCGCGAAATAGCTCCGATGGGACGTCATTGTTATTACGAAGGCGAGTTTGTTTGTCAGCTAGTTGCTCCAGCTGCTGGAATTGTCCGGTTTCGAAATTATTTGCAATTAGGTGACAATTGTTCAAAAACGTGGAAGGTTCGTTTTTTCGTTTAAACGGAGATTTATTGCGTCGAGTGAAAAATCCCTTAAATTTGCATTAGCTGTTAACCGTGTTTGCCAGAAGTGTTATTCGTATAAATGGTATTATTTAATTTGTTTATCGAGAACAAGTGTTTTTCCAATGTAAACGGTGCATGAAATATTGTTCACTTTCTGGAAAATTGGTAGAAACGTTATTTAAATTATTGTTTCACTTTCTGGAAAAATGTTTCGTTGAGCTGTTGTGCAATTCGTGTTTCGTACACATTGTGTAAATATTACAAAATTCAACGTGTGAATGTATCAGTAGGTAAATTGTACTTGTTACATTAACCCTCTACGGGCCGAATTCTTTTTCTCGACTATAGAAAAATGTATGTAACGTAAAATTAAGAAATATCGTCCTATAAATACAGAATAACATGTAAGAAACACTCGACAACAAAGAACTAATATCCGGATAGTGCGGTATCCCAAAAATAACTTATTCTTTATTTCTAAGCGCTTCTTAAGATTTCCGGCGTCCGTCTTGCTCGACGGCTATTTCCAGAATGTCCTTTCCGCGTCGTATCCCACGTTGCTCCGAAAAACCGTTGGAGTGCATTTAAAAACCACGCACAAAACATTGAAAAAAAAAAAAAACAAATTAATTCTTCATAAAGGAAGTAATACGGAGGTAACAAAGATCTTAGCAATTAAAAGAACCTCTTTGAAACCTGATTCCCTTCGAGTCTCATCAACAGTCAAAGCCTAAAAACCCTTGAAAGAAGTATCCTACCAATCTTCCAACACAAAAGAGAAAAACAGTAAAGAAGATAAAAGTTGGCGGGGTCCAATCAAGAGGACGTTGATGAAAGCAGGGAATTTCAATCGAAACCTTTAATTCGTCTGTTTCAGAGTGGAAAGCTCAGCGTTGCAGTTGGTGTACCCGCTGGATTCCCGTCCGGTGCAGCTAATCTTCCGGGGGTTGCAGGTGGTCAAGGAGAAACGAGTTCTCCTCCGAGAAGTCTCGGGCGTTGTTAAACCCGGCGAACTTTTGGCCGTCATGGGCCCTTCAGGTAAAGAATTCTCGGTATTGATTAGTATTAACCCTTTGAAACTTGGGAAATTTTTCGATGATTTCCATTTGGCAGTCGAAATCTCTAAAGACAGAAAATTGCACCGAGTTTAGTTATTTAAAGTTTCCCAATTTTCTTGAATTCCATTTGGAAGTGAAAATCTTGAAAAATAGAAAATTTCACTGAGTTTAGTTATTTAAAATTTCCCAATTTTCTTGATTTGCATTTGGAAGTGAAAATCTCGAAAAATAGAAAATTTCACTGAGTTTAGTTATTTAAAGTTTCCCAATTTGCTTGACTTCCATTTGGAAGTGAAAATCTTGAAAAATAGAAAATTTCACTGAGTTTAGTTATTTAAAATTTCCCAATTTTCTTGATTTGCATTTGGAAGTGAAAATCTCGAAAAATAGAAAATTTCACTGAGTTTAGTTATTTAAAGTTTCCCAATTTTCTTGAATTCCATTTGGAAGTGAAAATCTTGAAGTCACTGGCTTTAATTATTTAAAATTTCCCAATTTCCTTGATTTGCATTTGGGAGTGAAAATCCCCAAGAATAGAAAATGCCACTGGCTTCAATTATTTAAAATTTCCCAATTTCCTTGATTTACATTTGGGAGTGAAAATCCCCGAAAATAGAAAATTTCACTGACTTTATTATTTAAAATTTCTCAATTATCTTGCCTCTAACTTGGAAGTCAATATTTCCAAAAAAGAAAATTCCTTAAATTTTTACATTGAGATTAATTAAAAATTTAAAGGGCCTAAAGTGTGTCACTTAAACACCCAAAGGTTAAGTAACAACTCTGTTAATTCAATTATTTCTAAACTTCTTTCTGCCCAAACTGTCCCGAGTCACATGTGGATGAACGGACGGTAAACGTGTTAAGAATTTCTCTCCCTATATCCACCTGATCCACGGTAGTAATCCTTCAATTTCGCGACAGATTGGTTGCACGAAGGGGATTGGGCCACTTACTCCACTCGTTTCTCTTCTTCTGTCTTGGCAGAATTGATTTTGCACAGAGATTGATCGAGAGATAAAGTACAGAGGCTTCTACGGCGATGCGTTTCTTTCGTCGGGGGATGTTGGGGTGAATTTCCATTGGACACGAGTTCATCGAGAAATTTTCTTTAGGGGGGATTAGAGTGGGTCCGGGAGGCTGTTATGAATAAATGGATATATATAGAGTGTACTTGGGTTGTTTTATTTGTTTCGTTTGGGTGCAAGATTTATGGGATAGATAAATGAATTTTGATAAAACAATTTCATTCTTTTGATAGAATTGATCTTCTTAAATTTTCATGAAAAACATTGTTTAAAAATTTTATAAAATTACTTAATCATTATTCAGTCTTATTTTCTGAATTCTCTTATTTAATAAAACATTATTTAAAATTTTCCCATTATTCCAAGTTCGAAATCGTCAATAATAATGAATTAAAGTAAGTAAGTCTCTTTCACTCGACAAATATTAAAAAAAAAAAATTCACAGAAATGGATATTCTTTTAATAAAAAAAACGTTCGCCACGTTTCTCGTAATTCAAACATCAAACGTACCGACGAAATCGTCAGAAGGATCAAACTAAAATTCACACGTTACCGCTCCACCTTAACTTAGATTCGTCGTTCTTGTTTATCGTTCGAAGAACGAAGTCACAGGATAACCATGGCCGGTGACGTGACTTATTTATCGCGACGTGGAACGATCATCCCAATTTTTGGACCGGAGCTTCGTTCGCCTCGTTTAGACTAATTGACCGTTTCGTCGCGATCCACGCGAATGCTGATGACCCGATCGGGTTTCTGTGCCCCTCTATTGGACAATTTCGCGGTAGTTTGCGTCATTCGTTTATTTCGCGACCTCCTCCGCTCTTCTTGCTCGTAACTCGTCCTCCCCCTCGGAGATCTATTTGGGAACGCGCGTTTTGCAACTGTTCATCAACGACGACTCAACCACGAGGACTTATTTTATCGTGAACGGTGATTGAGAAGGTCAGAATTAGGAGTTGCACAGTTACGGTTCCCTCAGAATTTACGCGAGGAGATGCTCGAGTGTATTTTTACTGTGCATTTTACTTTTGAGTTATGAAAATCGTATGCATTGAGTTAAATGAGTCTTGGATGAAGTGTGAAGTTACTTGGGTATCAATTTACGTGCTAATTGAGGTATTGAGTTACTTGAATTTGGACTTAGCTATTGAGATATTTGAATTTTAACTTAACTATGAGTTATTTAAATTTTAACCGAGTTGTTGAGTTACTTAGCCTTGTACTGAACCATCGGGTCACTCGAATTTTAATTCTATTGTTGAATTACTTGAGCCTTTACTTAAGTCGTAACTTGATTATTGAGTTACTTCGAACTTAACTTACACATTAAGTTAATTATTTCTTAAATTAACTAGGAATCACTTGAATTTTAGCTTGACTATTAACTTATTGAAACGCAAACTCAACTATCGAGGTGATTAAGTCGTAACTTAACTTACCAACAGACTTACTTCACTCTGAACCTAATCATAGACAGGGTGAATATAAATCGCAACTCGAATTTTAGCTCTATCGTTAAATTACTCAAGCTTGACTATTAAGTCACTTAACTCGTAACTTATATCTTAACTTATCCATTAAGTTACCCACATCTTACATTAACTACGAATCATTTGAATCTTACCTTAACTGTTAACTTACTGAAACACAAACTCAACTGTTGAGTTACTTAAGTCATAACTTAACTCACCAACAGACTTACTTCAGCCTGAACCCAATCACAGACAATAAGTCCATATAAACCGCAACTTAAGTATCAAGTTTGTCGAACCTTCCCTCGCATACTCAATTAGTTAAGTCTAAGAACACTCAAACCCGGTGAAAAATACTAGAAAAAAAACACGGAAGGGAAGATCGAAAATATTCCCCTATCTTTTGTTGCCGCCGCCGTATCGAGTCGGTTCTCTATCGCTAATCCAGCACGGAAAATTCACTACGGGGCTCTTCTATGTTTAACCGCGTATCGCGGTCCGGTAACGAGCGATCGCGGCCCGCGCGAGCGATATTTATCGCGAGATTCTTCGTGTTCCCCCTTGATATTCGTTTAACAAGCCGCAAGCCCGCGCAACCGGGAGCACGCGAGTACAAATCATTCGTGCTCCAGCCGTTTCACGGTTTGTCGTTAACGTCGCCTGGGTTTCCAACCGAACGCGCGACTTCGCCGTCGTATATCTTCGCCGTACGACGACGATTCTAGGAATGAAATGTACTATTCCGGCTCCCGAGGCGAGAGTCGTCGCCGTCGTCTCTTCGCTTCTATGCTGAATGAACGAATCTAGAGGATCTGAGAATGAAAACACCGTTTCAAGCGGTTCGTTACAATCTGCTGAATTGTTTAGGATGTTTCGGGTTAATTTTATAATCCGTTCGGAATTTACGTAGTGCCGTAAATGAGCTTTTACGTGGACTTGTACTTGCACAAATCGTTTCAGGGTAATTTCGTAAATTGTGGGATGTGTAAATTTATATGGGGTGCTTTCCATATTAAGATTGCAAGAATAATGGTAAACTAGTGGAATTGTGATATGTGTGTTATCAGTCCTATGTATAATTGTTAACATTTTTTTGGAGCACTTCTGTACGGTGCGCTAATATATAAGTGTACTATTATAGAAGTGTGATGAATATTCGAGTCTGTATAGGGTGTGAAAAATTTCTGAAATCCTTTCTTCCCTTTGAAGATAATGTTGAATGTTTTGCAAGCAGAAAAAGAGAAGATTTCAAGAATTCGTTGAAAAATAATAGTATTATCAGTTCTCTGTATAAGTGTTAAACTTTTTTTGATGCACCCTGTATGTAACATTTCAGTGCAATGTACTAATATATAAAAATTCGTGAAATTCATTTTGTATAGGAGTGAATAAATAAGGGTGTTAGAAGTGTGATGAATATTTAGGTCTATATAGGGTGTCAAAAGTTTCTCAAATCCTTTTTCCCTTTTCATAATTGTTTTCAAAAATGTGTCAAAAATTGTTTACTTGAAATTACTGTATTTCTACAATAGTCACCTTATAGCAGTTCATTTTGTAACCAATATTTTTCCTCCTTTCTCCTTTCATTTCGAATTGTACACAATTTTGAAAATTCCTATTTCTACGCACACTAACGGCGAATTTTCATTTTTTTTGGCGCAGGTTGCGGCAAAACGACGTTACTGAACTGCCTGTCCGGTCGCGTAGGCCTGGACGGGGGTGAGATCTGGCTGAATCGTGAAAGGCTGACAAAACGATGGCGCAGAAGAATCTGCTACGTGCAACAGCAGGATGTTTTCTTTCCCGATCTCACGTTGCGGCAGACCCTCGAGGTGAGTGTTACTTCGTCGAAAAGAAACATCTGATCAACGTAGCAATCCTTCTCTTTATTTGCGTGAAAAAGAAAGGAAATAAGTCGGACGGAGTTAGTAGCGGTAAAAGAATTTATCGATTTAATTAACCGAACGTTTATTGCTCGTTTCACGGTAACAGTCTCTTTCTTCCTTAGAAGAGAGAAGCATAAAAATAAATATCGATACGGCTACGATCAATTCGTTCTATGTTCAAGAGAAAAAGAAAGAAGAAGAAAGAGGAGAAAAAGAAGAAAACTAGGAGCTTTATGATTGTAATATTGTGCTCGTGGGAGAAATCTTTTCTCGTGAAACGAGCAATTTCCATAAAACCGACCTTCGCCGACCGGCAAAAGGTGAAATGTTTTCTTCCACTTGATAATGTCGCGGACCAATAAATTCCTACGATCACTCCATCGAACGATAAAACCCGATGAAACAGCTTCCCCCATTAAACGAGGCCAATCCTCGTCGTAAAACTCATCGAATTTGCATCCATAAACGCCATTACGACGGAGAGAGAGAGAGAGAGAGAAAAGAGGGAACGTGAACCCTTTCTTTTCCTAAGACCATTTCGTAGATTAATGAAAGGCGAAACGAAACACCTTTCGTACCGATAAATTTGTCTGATATAAAATTCCATTAAGAGTGAACCTGGCTAATTTACGGTAGCCGATACCACGAGATCCGGACAATTAATTTGTTTTAAGTAGTTCTGCTTTGTAGAATGAAAATTGTATCATTCGGTGAGAAGAATGCTTGTAGATCTACTCTATTAGTATAATTAACTTAAGTTCGGTGTTTTAGAAAAAATAAATTCTCCTAAAATATCAGAAGTTGGAGTAATTGTGAAGATCATTCAGTCTCGTTCTCCCAAAGTATCAAAAGTTGGAATAATTATATAGATCATTCTCCCAAAATATGAAAAGTTCAAATAATTATATCGATCATCCAGTCTCATTCTCCGAAATATCGAAAGTTGGAATAATTAGGTAGGCCATCCAGTCTCGTTCTCCCAAAATATCAAAAATTGAAATAATTATACAGATCATTCTCCCAAAATATCAAAATTTGGAATAATTATATAGATCATCCAATCTCATTCTCCAAAACATCAAAAATTGAAATAATTATATAGATCATTCTCCCAAAATATCAAAATTTGGAATAATTATAGAGATCATCCAATCTCATTCTCCAAAACATCAAAAATTGAAATAATTATGTAGATCATTCAGTGTCATTCTCTGAAAATATCAAAAGTTGGAAATTTCAAAATTTCAAAAGTTCAAATAATTATATAGATCATTCAGTCTCATTCTTCAAAAATATCAAAAGTTGGAATAATTATGAATATCATCTAGTCTCATTCTCCCGAAATATCAAAAGTTGGAATAATTATGAAGATCATTCTCCCAAAGCACCAAAAATTGAAATAATTATATAGATCATTCAGTCTCTTCACGTGCAACGATTAACACCTTCCAAAACACCATTTTACTCTCTCGGTATTCCCCAATTCGTCACAATTTCCACCATCCAACCCCTTCGTTATTTACAAGAACGAATTACATTTCAATTATCGACGAATTCAATTCGCTTCACACACCACAACCACCGAGACACCCATCCACAAACCAAAACGCCAAGATACCTCACGTCAAATTACTCGATTAACTCCACTCCCCCCCGCCTTCGCATTATAAAATCCAATTATCCTTCCGAAATGAACAGTCGTCGAACAAAAGGAACAACAAACGATCCGTGCGCATTCGTGATCCATAAATCGACCTGACGCACAAGTAGAAACAGACGATGCTGGTCAGACGCGCTAGACGAGCGAAGAAGAAGAGGCGACACTTTCGCGGGAGAGAGGAACGGCTTGGCGAAATAGGAAGCAACGGTGTTTCCTCGTTTTCCGGGAAAATCGGTGGACGTGCGCGTGCCAAGTTCCGCGCGAAATTTATGTAGGCCCGCGTCAGAAAATTAGGAGGACACCTCGCGCTTGGACTCGCGCGGAATGCGGGCCAGGAGCCAAGCGGATTTAAAGGGACGTGTTGTATCGCGGTGTGTTGCTGTACAGCTTGAAAAATGAACGCAGACTCTCGAGCTGATAGATTCGAGATAGAACGAGGACAATTTGTGTGCGAAGCTATTTTCCGAGTTTCCTGCTGGTATTACGAGATTGTCAGGTTAGGATTCACTGGTTTACTTGATAAAATCGAAGATTTGGATGTGTTAACGCACAGAATTATCGACATAGACGGCTGTGATTGGCTTTGCTCGTTGAGGAAAGTAAAAAATGAAATAAGGTGTTGTAGTACGAAACATGTAGAAGGCGTATATTTGCGTCTTTCGTAGTCAAAGGGTTAATCACTGCTGCATAGCTCTTTCATCCTTTTATACTGCTGCTTCTCTATTCTTTTCACTCTACGCAGACATTCGATCGTGTTTAAATAATCAGAATTAGGGACAGCCGTGCAAAATTTGAAAATTTGGTCTTTTAGTATTAATTTCATTAGGTTGCGATCTCTAATTTTCTATTTCTTGGCTTTTTGGAGTACAGGAAGTGAATTTATTGTGCAAATTGTTTGTAAAATAGCGTAGTTAGAATTTTATCCGGTAATAAAATGAAGGAAAAACTGATGCACTGTGAATGTGTTAATTATATAGTATCTATTATCAATTTCCCAGTGAAGCATAATTCAAAATTAATACAACCTTCAACTGGTTAGCTTCTGTAACCCCTTGACTTCTAACGAGTCATACTCGTGGCAGAGATTCTGGTCAAGACGTGGCAGAAACAGTTACATTAGTAGCAAAAATTAATTTTCATTTGAATTTGTAAGATTGAGGATTACCAAATGTAATTAACCCTTTGTTACAGTACCGAAACAGTGAGAAGAAAAATCATAGATTAAAGGATTAATACATACTTACTACATAAATAAAAAATCCCAGAATGAACAAACAATTTTCAAGTATTGCTCACTCCACCCAAAAACACTTCCAAAATGAACGCCTAACAACCACTACGAACAACCCCATAAACTCCCCTAATCCAACAACACCCTCTAACTACCACATAAACACCTTAAAATTCCAAAAAAAAAACCACTCACAAATTCCCACAAAAAAATTGCCCGGGGTAAACATCGCAGAATCCATATAAACGTGCACACGTGGACAGCGCATAAGGAACACACACTCACGTGTGTGTATGTGTGTCGCACAGGAAAACCAGCCGATCCAACGGGACGTTGGCCTCTGGATCGCGGCAAGGGGGACACAGGAGTTGCCCCGTGACAAATAGAGGGTGGTAGCCAGAGAAAGAAAGCGAGAGAAAGACCAAGGAAGAAAGAAAGAACGAGAGAGAGAGAGAGAGTCACGGTGACGTCATAACTCGGTCAGTGAACCGTCGAGCGAGCGCGTGTCTTACGTGTTTCAAAAACATTCGGCGCCGGTCTTTCTATACGTGCATAATACGCTAGAGCAACTGGCGGCTGCCTCTCTCTCTCTCTCTCTCTCTCTTTCTCTCTGTCGCGTCACGCGTTGTTTTCTTCACGGTCTCGATTTCTTCTCCGATTGCCTTTCTCCTCGTAACGTTTTCTGTCATCCGCGCTCCCCTTGCGGACGCGCCTTCAGGCGGGGAGTAGTGCAGTTCGAACAGCTCGCGAAATAAATATTTGGTTAAATTAGCGAAGATGTGTTTGACTTTTTTTTGTTTTGGAAATTCGCCTTGAAGATTTTTCACATGTTTGTTGGGAATTTTTGCCATTTTTTTCTTGGGGCTTTGTAAGCTAGCTGCGATGCGCCGCAGAGCTTTCCGTTGTTATCCCAGCTCGACGTTATTGTTCCTTTCCACGTTTCTGTTTGCGCTGTTTTGTTACGCGGATACTTTCTTAACAGTTAAGCGATGTGGATTTTGTTACGAGCGCGGTTCTCCGGTTCCGCCTGTCTGACGCTTTTGTCCACAAACGTCACCGTGTCGTTACTCTCGAGCGGCCGAATATTTCTGCGACACAGTACTTTCACGTAATTTCCACTAATTTGCGTTATTTCATATACGATATTGCGTGAAATGACGTTTCACAAAGAAAAATCGTCGTTTCCATCCTTTACGAAAAACCATAATATCGTTTCCTTTTATCAATTTTTATTACTTACATTATTCTACAGTCTAAAATTTCCATCTAACTTTTCCTTTTTTCAATTTTTATTACTTACATATACACCTATCCCCCGATTTACACGATTTCACTTTTACACGGTTTTCAAAGTAACGATTTTTCAGAAATATAAACTGTTAAAAATAAAAGTTTGTACAGTCATTTTTTAGTACCGTTCGTTTGTTAACACTGGCACTGAACCAAAAAATGAACGGAATTTCCCCCTTTTTTGCACACAAAAAGTATTCATACTGTAACGTAAAGTTTGCCGCCGCCGCGGATCTTTCATTGGCGACCAACTATTTTCGCCTTCGTCGATCGCTCGCTCGAAACTAAACCCTGTCCCTGAATATTGTTTGTTTCTCATTTTTATTTTACATTTAAAATAATGAATTTAATTCAATCACTGACTAAATTATGCGCATTTCCTTTTTTCCCCGATTTGCACGGTTTTTCATACAAAAAGCCACGATTTCGATTTACATGGTATTCTGAGGACAGGGGGACAGATGTATCATTCTATAACCTAAACTTTCCACCTAACTCTTCCTTTTTTCCATTTTACCGTTTAATTTCTATTACTCGCGTTATTCTACAACGCAGCCTAAGAAGGTTATCATTTCTCAAAGTACGAAGTTCACTTTTTCACTTGAAATTTTCCGGAGAGTCTGTTTCTCGAAACGGCCATTCTCCCTCCCGCGTACCGGCCATATTGTCGCCTCCCTTCCACAGAAACCCACCGTCGTCATATTCGATCCGCCATCGAGCACATATTTTCTCTTCTCTCGAACGCATCCGTCGAAGCTGCGTTCC